GGGCGTTGCATGGAAAGAATGGGACCAAAAGTCGGCAGTGCCCCCCCCCCCCTTCATTGAAGGTGTTCCACCGCTACTGACCTCAATGTCGTCTCTGTGGCAAAGTAGCAACAATTTACTTCATTTGCAGCATAGCAGGTTCAATCAACAAAGAAGGACATAGTATTGTATGAAACCCTAAAACGTAAAATAAAACATACTCAAACCGGTTTAAGTTCCATCAGGCGCTGAAGATGTCAGGGACTTTCCGATATGATGACGTCTAACGGTGTAATTCCAGGCATCTACCCTGCATCTAATCCACCATTGCAGGACTCATCAGTCAAGAAGCCTGAATTGTGCAGCCGGTCTATGCGATATCAGACATTTTTAGAAAAGTTCACTTACCGGTATCACCCTCCAATGCTTCAATAAACGTTTAGAAGGATTCCTATCCGCTATGACGCGCCAATGCAAGGTCTCCTTAGGCACGCCTTCGAACCAGGCCCTTGCAATACGAAATGCATCTATTGGGCCTGGCATCCTTAGCCTGAAGATATGCACTCAAGCACCTGCGTTGTATGCATGTGCTATGCTGAGGCTGCGAGGGGTGGAGATACTCTCAGACGATGTGGCCAGATGGCCTCATCTGTTTATTTTGGTTGTGTGGCGCCACCGCCGGCCACAGGAGTGGCTTTTAACGGCCACGGTCGGACTTCGAGCTACGACGAGCCGCAGTGTGGAATGGATCTCAGACATATCAGGCGAGACACAGATCGACCGCAGACAGATCTGCAGTCAGGCCTTTTAATTAACAAATATTTAACGCAGATACACAAGCAATCAGCATCCCATCCCATAACGCAAACCTTATACAGTAGCTGTATAAGGTTTGTATACAGGTTTGTATATACGTGTAGCTGGCTGCACGATATAGGTACCTAGAAAGATTAGGCCATCAATAGAAAGCCAAAATGACCTGTGCATATTACAATTATTACTCTCGCTAAGAAATATGGGAATACAGCAGGTTGAGCAATGCGGCACAGTATGAATTCAGGCGCAAACCCGTGCTGCCATCTAGGAGCAGAAAAAATAGCACTCAAATGCATACGCATTGCTGAACGATCTTTAGATCTGGCTCAACATGATATTCGCATTTTATGTGACAATTTTCTAGCAGCTATCACCATGTAGTGCTCAATGATTCAATAGTGCATAAGGAACCGCTCATTTAACATTCTTTCTCCGCATGTAACACATAATCAGAATGACTCTCGCTAAAGCTTTTGATTGAAAGCTGATTGCACAAGGTAAGGATCCGATTTCAACCTGTCCCACACACTGTCATAAACTACACGCATATGATGTCATCGGACAGCTCGTGTTTTGACAAACCGCCACACGATGTGTCACAGGGAAGTTGCAGCGGCGTAACCCGACCGGCAGCCAGCCGGCTGGTGTGACATGCTGCATATGTCACCTGTCACGCATGTCACACCTGTCAACTGTCAGCCGCCGTCGGAACGGGCTGACTGTCATCAACTCGCCTCGATATAGTTGCCCTGCATTCATTGTTCGAAGAAGACTTAGCTGCCGCGCATTAATGGAACTGACCTACCTCGAAAACGGTGCTTTAGTTATACGGGAAGTCACGCAGTTCGCTGCTTCCAACGATCGCAATAAAGCTTTATAGAATGAAGCTAATTCTCACTAAGAGAAACAGTATGTACAGCCCTCTGCAAACTGCGTGGTAGGTATTCTTTTTTCGACAAAAATGAGAATAACGCGAATACTATGCTATCGGTCATTCGGAAATCGTAACAGCAAGACGCGCTAGACCCCGCCCCTTAGATTGGCATCATCACCGTATCCATTTTTCATCTAGTTCGGCAACTAAACCCAAAAGTTTATATTTGCCCCCAAAACAAACTTTTGCATTTTGTTGCCACACAAGGCGCATACTTTGTTTATGGATAGACCTAATCGAAGGAGTGGAGCATGGCGCATCTATTTGCAGTGAGTTCCGACCGACTGATAACATAACCTTTGAGTTATTATCGGTTTTGTCGAAAAAAGAATACCTACCACGCAGTCTGCAGAGGGCTGTACCTACAACAATGCAACAATTGACTGATTTCCAACTAGTGGCGTCCATAGTAGCATATGCCGTCATAACCTTAGACCGCACTTTATATCGAGTGATCCGGGCTGATCGGATCATATCTAAGTTCGCCTAGGGCGAGTTTCTCCAGTCCTGCGGACTCGGCAGCGCCTCTCTATGTCAGAAATCCCGCTCGAGGGAAATCTCCCCGCTGATATCATGGAGCCAATCAATTTAATCTCGCCAGGAGCTGCAGCAGGCAGAGGGGAGAGGGAGAGGGAGAGGGGAGTGAGAGGAGATTAGCAGTGCGGAGACTCGGACGCAGCGGCCATGGGGAGACCGATAGTTAGGCAATGTAGCTTTGTAACGATGTGAAAGGCAATCATCACAGGACACGTCCAAAGACATGCTTCTAATAAAAACACATCTAGTCATCAGTCTGACCCAGCAAGCCTCGAGAGACTATCCGTAGTTCATCTGAGACACTACAAAACCTCCACTGCAGGTACGGGCTGATGGTCGACCGGCCCCCTCTGGCATCGAGCCAGATCCTCGGTTCATCGATTGGTAGGGGACGGGGCCACTAAATACGAGGGACATTGGCACTATATGTATACGCTCGTCTGCAGCCGGCGGCCGCTTCAGAGTCGTGAGCCTAGCATCGGGTGTGGAAATGTGCTAAAGCGCTCACAAAACGGATAACTACGAGCTAAAGAGGATACAGAAACGCTATAAATTGTTTCGTACAAATTGATGATCTAAAGAAGATGCGCATTTGGCAATGAATCGAAACCCGGACCCATACAGTGCCCGAACAAGTTGATTCATGGATCAAATGATTAAATCCTTTCGTTGACATGGCTGAGACATGCTGCTGTTTTAGGGCCCGTATGGTGAATTAATCATGACGACCACCGCGGATTCGCGACTGGAAACAAGTGCTCGGGGGCGTAGTCTGATGAATGGGAATGTATCAGCCATCTACAACCCGGTGCAGTGACCTCTGTGGAGCCGCTGTGGGTTCGTGGCCATGACTAATCTGCTTCCCACACCGCCCGGTGTTATCTGGTTTGACCACTGATATCGGCACCATATTGCCCCAGTCTATCGCGGGAGGTCTACTGACCAATAGCAGGGTAAGCAGGCCGATATGGGTCACTGTCGGCCACTGTCAAGCTGACACTGTCATCTTCAATAAAAGGGTTTGTTCACTATGAGCGGCCTGGGCTTCGTTGACCACTTCGATAAGTGACCGCTTCGAGCCTTGTAGCAGTTGTAGCACGCCTATAGGTCACTGTTGAATATTGCCACCCTTCAATAAACGACCTCCGGCTCGGGCCCACCATTGACCGTTGTCCACCTTCTGCCCTGAGTAGCTTGACGACTTGAGTCTCTGATGATCGCTACCCGCCTCCACTGACCAACACTGCCCATACGAGGGACAGCGGCAATCACTTAGCGTCGTCCCAGCGACTTTTTGTCGACCACGCGCGCCCGTTCGTGCCGCGAGAACTCAGTGCTTTTTGCGACGATCGACTGTAGAAAAACAGCTAACGGTGACGCATGAACAAGAAGAGCTTCCGTCACCAGAGAACGATGGCCGTTATAGAAGCGGATGGATGTTCGTGGAATTGTTGGATGTCCTTGCAGAAGAGGCGAGGAAAAGGTTGAAGTCTGTCCTGACCATGGTGGCAGCCGGCAGCTGGGGAAAGGATTATAAGGTTCCATCAGAAAAGACGACAGCACAACTCGGCTGCCGAACAGCTGTGAGTGTGGTTGGTGACCGCGGGTGTCTGGAGACTGGGGTGACTATCATGAGAAATGAGAATAAAACATGGACAGGTGAACCGTTGGACATCCTGCGCCACAGGGGCTCGGATCGGGCTTATGCCACAAGTGGTTTGTGAAGTGTAGTGCACAGGACAGCAGCGGCGGACGGCGGACAGTGGTGAGTGTTACGTCGCCTTTTCCGCCGCCGTCGCCGTCACCGCCGTCCGTCTCGTGGACCGGTTACACGGAGCCAAGGCCGCCAGCACGAGAAAGCTGATCCTACGGCGGCTCACCGCTCGAGTGTCGCGGAAAGACCGCGTTTCACGCACAAGGTCAGCGTTGTGTTGCGAACGTCAGACCAACCAGGTAGAATTAGTCCACTTGCCACTGAGTTTACCGTACACTGAAGCCTGCAAGGAAGTCGTCAGAGCGTGCAGTTTAGCGGCTGAAGTCTGTCGTTTGTATGTGCTACCCGGCATTTTACCACTAAGGCATTAACGGGATACGCTGCCGCGCGCTACTGCTAGCCGGCTATAGCTGGCTGAACATGTTTACGTTTCCGTCCGTTGAACCGGGTGCCATTCAACTGCAATACACTCGGGATTTCAACTGTGCACTCCATCCATTTCGAGCCTGTTCGTCGGAATACGTTGGGAGATTTCGTGGGATACATCTGACAGGACGGCATTGCCTGAGCTCCCCAAGGGTCACGGAAGACGAACCCAATCGTGTCACTCCCGATCCAACGTTGGGACTTGGGAGATATTGGACTGTGATTCCAATATAGTCTAAGCTCGCCGCTCCTTTTACTCCGGCACGGTCTCAGGAACGTCAGGGACAAGTAGGGACGCCTCGGCCCCAGCACGCGCCGGACGGAAGGTATTTATAGCCCCCACCGACCCGACAGACTTGCTCCGACTTCCGTCTGCCACCTGAGCCACTCTACACAACAGGGAGCGTGAGCTTGCGAGTTTGGTCCATCCACCCACCGCCGCCCCTCTCGGCAGCCACCCACCGACAGACAGCTCATCGGTTATGTAAACAGACTATGGTCGGCCGACAGCCACCGCACGCCACTCGCCCGCCCCCGCGGCACGTCTCTGTGACCTGAGGTGACCCGGCCCGCCCGCCCGGTGCCGGAACTTACCTTTTGAGTTTGCCGGTTTTGCCGGTGACGGTGGTGGTCGGAGTGGCGGACGGCAGAAGCGGCTGCTTGTCCTCGGCGGCCGGTGAGCTGCGCGTGGTGTCGGTACTCGGGGGCGTCGGCGGCCCGTCGGACGGACGCAGAAGAAGTGTCGACTCGGTGACCGTGTCGTCGCTGAAGGAGTCCTCCATGAGGGAGACCTCGTGCGGCAGCAGCGGCCTCTCGTCGGGCAGCGGCGGCGGCGGCTGGCTGGGCAGCGGAGGCGGCGCCATTCCGGCAGCGTTGTCCAGCGCCGAGCTGATGCCAGCCGTCAGCACTGGGTGGCTGTTGTTATTGGGCGACCCGTTCAGCTCGGGTTTGACCTCACTGTGGCTCGTGGACACCTGAAATACCTCATTCTGGGGTGTGTTCAGGTTGAAGCCCTTCTCCTCGGTAGGAATCATGAACGAGAGCATGGTCGCAGCGCCACCGGGATGCACAGCATGCCCCGCGCCGGGGCTGCACGAGAGGGCGCCGCACGAGTGCCGCGATTCACTGATCACCAGTCACCGGCGCGCAACTCGCGTCACCGATCACCAACCGCTTACACACCAGTCACCCCCGACCGACAGTCACCGAATCGAACCGTCGCCTGCGTCGTAGACACACGCTCTCACCCGCCGGTGCAGTTTGGCACTGGCGGCCGCCGCGGCTCGGCACTCGGCGGCCGGCATCCCGGGCCGCCAGCCCGGCCGCGCCGCCAGCTGATGGCTGATGACGTCACAGCCGGCGCGCGCCGCCGCGCCGGTGCGGTCGGAAAGGAGCGGGCCCGTGCTGATGACGTGGGGGGCGGCGGGGGGAAGTGTGATTGTTCGAAGGTGACGAATGAGTGCATGGTGATACGTCGTACGGTGGGCTTGACTAGCCAGATGGAGTCAAAGTTCGCAAACCAACTCCGAACGAAAAATATGGGTAATCGACCCGTTTTGATATATCAAACGCTGAGATACCATCGAATCGAACCCCATAGATGACGCGATCCTCAATGCATCGGCTAAACTAGTTCTGTTTCCTCAGAAGCTGCAGAACGTTTATAACATGCCATCTTCAATTCTGAATGGAACTTTAGATGATATCATGACCCCAAGTGCAAGTCGCAGGGGTGCAAGATCGTCTCTAACTGGCAGTCACTATCTTGTACATGATCTCGTGTTTGCGGAACTGAATCTGACATCAACTGCACAGAAATATTAACATTCTCTAGCGAGGAAACGTCACATGTTTTAGTCATAAACAAAAACACGGACAAATTCAGGTGGCCTTAGGCAGCAACGAGGGGTTTCTTCCCTTCCCTCGTTCCAGCTTCCCAGGTCAATAAAAGCTGGAAGGCCACTGAGTCAATGTATTTTTAGTCTACGGGCGATGTAGATGGACATTTGTTCCAGGATTACGCATCCCGTGGCAGCAAGGAACTAACGAATACCGACTGTACGTACCAGGCTAACCATCCAAATTAAGCTAACATACACCGTTTACCTCTAGGTTTCATCCGCCGATGATTGTCGACAAAGGCCTGGCGCACAAAAGACGCTCTTTGTCGGATAAATTTAACCGCTAAGAGGAAGGAATACACGATTACGCAGCACAAAATATTGTCCTCGAACCCCGTCAATGTAGCATACATCAGCCATGCGAACCAAACAAACATAAACAATCGAACGAATATAATGCATAAGTTATGTCACGGATGGCTCGCCATCCCAATCCCCTTCCCTCCTCCCCGCTGCCACAGCAGCCCTCTCCCTCTTCCCATACCTTCGCCCGACAGCCACAATATCCTGATAGACCGCGAGACTGATTTTACTGTCAGAATGTCTGACAGTGCCCGGCCAGACGGTAAGATCCCCTAGTGCCTCCCGCGCCCACCTATCCCCATCCTTTGGACGTGATATTGACCGCGAAGGACTGATGTGTTCTGGAGCATGGAGCTAGTCCTGAGCAGACTGCTTGGCCTGTCCTGAAGAAGACAGACCGGCACACAGTCCGCTGCTTCGGTAGCGTCCGGAAGGAGCGTCCAAAAGATCCAGGTGGCGCCGGGTTTGGCACACCAGACGCCGCCACCGGGTTGATATATCGGTCCATGGTTGTTGGTCGGGTCGTGTAGCCACCCAAGGGTCCTCAGAGCCAGTCCAAGAGTCACCGGACGCCAAGTGACACGACCCGCCGCTAGCTCCCGAGGATGGCAGTCCAGTGCACCATGGCACACGGTAGTGAGTCCCAGGGAGACGGCGGCGGGGCTCGGCCGGGCAGGGACACAGTGAGATCGCTGAGGACACAGTCGGCGTTTAGGACCATGGTGACCGTCGACACAGGAGCTGCTGCTGTGGCAGCGGTAGGTCGATGACACAGCAGCAGCAGTAGGTCACCGTCGCAGCCAGCAGCAGCAGCGGCAGCAGTCATAGACCGTTGACGCAGCAGCAGCAGCAGCAGCAGCAGCAGTCAGGCTGACGGAGCGGCACCAGGCGGCGCCGACAACCTGTGACGGCGGACCATCTGTAGCCTACTGGGCCGGTAGGTTGGTCTGGACAAAACGCTTCATGTCGGCCAGCTCCTGGAGAGGTGATAAGGTAGGTACTGTCAGAAAACAGAAGGGCATATGGTAATAGCATGACAACCAGAAATGCATCCACTAAGCAGTTATCAGCAGAATTCCCCCAGGCAGTATATCAACTTGGGAATAAGAACAGATACTACAGAGTACAGCACCGAACTACACAGACTATAGACCAACGCCCTCTATAGCAGGTGAATCTGTGCTGTTTTTTTTATTGTAGTCCATCATACGGATTACTGTAAGCTTTGCACATACTCCCGAGTCGTACTTAACACCCGTCAGCCTTGCACAACCCATGAATGTCACCCCTTGACCTCTACGAGTGTCCGCTCCACCCCAACTCACAGCATCACACGACGAATGCATCACTCCCGGGTACGTTTTGAACTCGATCTGGGGGGCGAACTTGCGGATGGCCTGGGTGGTGATCTGCCCCCACTTGTACGGCACCAGGGGGTCACAGTCGCCGTGACACTGCAGCACAGGCAGCTGCCGGCTGGAAATGAACGGAAGAGCGGTCAGATTGACGAACAGGCGCTAGCCACAGGGGCACGTTGGTAGAGATCTAACGGCGAATGATGAATGAGGCTCAAGCTCAGGAGCGAAATATCTGGAAAAGAGAAAATTGAATACACCACTCATTAGCGTACAAGTCTGTCATTTAACACTAAACAATCAGACGAATATAAAAGGTTAGGATAGGAACGTAGTCCCAGGGTATTCCGCTCGTTACTATCGCCTTTAGATACCAGCTGTAAACCCGTAAACACAGTAGGCGGGCGGGATCAGGCCCGGACCGTACTCACTTCTGTTCAGTGACGCAGCCGGGAAACTCGTTTCTCAGCGGCAGCCAGCAGCTGAGCGCCATCACCCCGGCCAGCGGCTTCGAGTAGGTGAACGCAGAGTAGAGCGCCAGCGCGCCGCCCTGGCTGAACCCGCCCAGGATGATCCGGTTGGAGGGGATGCCGGCCTTCACCTCGTCCTCGATCAGACTGTGGACGCTGTCCCGGGCCGAGTGGATCCCTGTGGATACCCGGACACATCTATCAGACTGTGGACAACGGACACAGATATCAAACTGTGGACCATGCCCAGTGGATCCCTGTGGATACAAAACACAGATATCAGGCTGTGGACACACTGACACAGAATAAAACTGTAGACTGTGTCCCGTGCCGATTGGATCCCTGTAGACCTAATACCAGGTAAGCCCAAGAATTATGTAGATTCACCACTGAGCACTGAGCAGACCACATTTGTTTGTTTTGTGTACCTACCCAGATTGGCTATGCAATTTAGCGATCCGTTAAGGTTCCCCTACCAATGCAAGTCACACTCCCAGATGGTATAATCAATCAGAGACAGCGGTGCTACCAAAGCCGTACAGACGCCGGCGCCAGACGACCACCTCCAGGGAAACCCTATAGCTTCCTTGTGGTCGGGAGGGCGGCCCGACCGATGCGTCCCCGGACTGATATTGACAAATGGCTGGTTAACTACCTACCGCATATCCCATGAATGAGGTACTGCAGCATACGGTTATTCAATCTGCATTACATACAAGCACATCAGTCCCATGACTGCTGTTAATTCGTACAGCCCCGCCGACAGTGCATAAAACGATGTGCAGTTACACAACTCATCGGTCACGCCCCGACGACAGGACGTTACAGAGAAAATTCCGAAACGCTTTTCAATCTTCTCCTTCCTTCTTTCAGTGCTCCGCACCAATCGATTAAATCGTCATCGATTGAATCGATGACGATGGAATGATCGAAACGCGTTCATGCTCTATTTGTTCCGTGTTTTACTACATTTTCTCCTTCCATCTCTCTCCCATCACGTGCTCACCTAACCCCTGTCCCTCTTCCTTTCTCCCTCTCTCCCCCATCTCTCACCAGCGACATCCTCGGGCCCCTTTTCATCCAGTGATCGCAGGTCGAACCAGGACGGCATACGGAACCCCGCGTTCAGCGTCACCGGCTGCGTGGGCCTGATGACAAACGGTGGGGGGGGGGAGATGTGATGACGGGTGGGGGGGGGAGGAGCGGGCACGGCCCGTAAAATTGTTAGATTGATTGATTTCCCCTTTTCGGCACTGCAGAAATAAGTGGAACTGAAAATGCAATAAATGCAATAGTAGACAGCTCAGAAAATGTAGCAAATTGTGGTATCCATGATTACTTGCAAGGGACAGCAAGCACTGTTCTAAGCCCCTGATACTGTTCCTGTCCCTCTGAAGGCGGAATTTGACGGGAATATGTTATGCCAGCAATAATTGGAATCCAGAAACGGTTAAAATTTTGGAATCAATAGATATTGATTAATGATTATATAGCATTTAAAATCCTGAACCACAGGCTCCATTTTTGGCCAAAAAAACGCATTGCATATCATTTTACATTAATCAGCCCCAGCCTACATGCCTCCTGAAAACCTGTGAAAAGGTACTTTCTGAGTTGTCTGCCATTATCTGTTCCAAATATGCTGAATTTACACCACCTAGACACAGAAAGCTAAAATCGATTGAAAGGACAGGCATACAATTGTTCTGGTAATAGCTTCACAGCAGCTCTAATAAAAGTACATATTTAAACATGCATATACAATAAAAACAACATAATTTTCCTGACACTTACGCAGTTGGGCAGATGACCTTGATGTAGTTGGATCGGATTGAGCTCATGGCTCCGGCCCACCCATGTCTGGAACAGCACAAACAGATGGAGTTATCAGGCTTCAGTCCTGCTGATAAGTTTTTTGTGCCGATGTTTATCTTAGGTGAGTTAGGCTTTTAAACTGACCATGAACATGCAGAGAAAGGGTCCTACAGAGCATTTAATAGAGTAATCTGATTTATAATGTTAAGCTCATCTTTGATGCCTGCAATTTGGCAATGATTAAATCAATGCTAATGGAAACAAATCATCTTACCCTGTGTCACCCAGGCCATGAAGAAAGATCAGCTGAAAAAAAAAACAGGTCATGGTCAGTCTCAGACTCAGATAAAGCTTCCATAAGCAATGGAAGCAATTGCCACACTCACTGTCATGCCCACACAACAAGTTGAAGTGTTAGGCTAAGTGCACCATAAAGCATTGAAAAAATGCACTAATGTCTCAAAGGTGATTGGCAATAAACAAGTGCTTAAAATTAGCTTTCAAATACCAATGCACCACATCAAAATCCAGTGGAACAAGTACATTGCAGCCAAGCAGCTGCACGCCCTGACTCAACAACAATATACCAAGTTGACTTGGTATATTGTTGTTGAGTCAGGGCGTGCAGCTGCTTTGAAGTACTGCCTGCATGTCTCTGTCTGTTCAACCAGTGATGAATTGGAATGCAACAACTGACACTGTGACACAGCTTCTTGCATTTCCAAGACATTGAATATGGATGGCTGAATAGATGTACAGGAGTTAGTTCTAGACCAGGGCCCTGTGCAAGTGCCTGCAGCTGTTGCAGCTCCCACAGCCAAAAAGGTGGAGCTTAGCTGGCGGCCAATCAGGCAAGAGCAGCAGTGCCCACAGCCGTGAGGGCATTCAACCTAACCAAAATTAGGCTCCGCCTCCCGACCGCTACGGCTACAGAGCACCTGAACAGTGCTCAGATTGCTCCCCTGAAGAAAATTAACAGCCCACCAAAAACCTTCCGAGACATCGAACGCGGGGTAAATTTGGTGACTGTCTTTCGACATTTTGCAGCTGCCCTGCGCCAAAAATTCAGCCGCCACCCTGTCCTGAATTTGGCACATGCAAAATTACGCCAGACGTGCACTGAAATTTTCGGCGCAAACCCACTACTGCGCCTGACGGCTGACATATTCAGCATAATGTGCATTTTTTCCAACCTGGCCTTCAAACAATTGAATTGAGTTATCAATATTTATTATCAGTAGATAATAAATATTGGCCCAAAACAAAGCAGTACAAGCAGTGGCATATGTTGTTACTTTGACTTGTTTGTTTGCAGTTACGTACCTAGTTAATATCTCAATCTAAGACAATCTAGACTTACTGTTGCTGTGTGCTTAGCCGATGGGTCGATGACAACTCGTCCAGCCATCTTGGTATTAATAAAGTTAGTGAATCTTCAAATATATTATCAGTTGCAGACGTGAGCTCCTCAGATGAAGTCAAAATTGTAATGACAATGCAAACCTAAAGCAAGGGCTGCAAAATAGGTTATCTGAGAAAAACTACTTGCCAAAGGCCAGCAGCAAGTATCCGCCGGCTTCAGAACAACTTCGATTTTACTATGTTTATCTAAAATACATGAAATTTCAATTTATATTGAAATAGGAGACAACTTGTCAATATAAAACAACACAGAGGCGATTTAGCGCGGTGTGCGGCGAATTTGGCGAGGCTTTTCTGAGGCTCCCGTATGGACACAGACGTGCAAGAGTATTCCAGGGAGACACCGGTTGGTCACGTGACTCGGAAACAAAAATCAGCTGATAGAGTGGCGGAATTGCCGTAATCAAACACGAATAATTCCGGACGATAGAGCGGCAGTATAGGAGTTTTCTTCGCAACAGGCAAATATTGCAATGTTTTATCATTCTATGATCAAGAAACGTTTATAAATCATATATTTCTTCGATGATCACAGCCGCAACCGACACGCACATATCTTAGCCAGCGCATAAAGCTGTGCTTTATGCCAGCTTTAAGCCAGCGCATAAAGCTGTGCTTTGCGATATTAAATGTAAAGAGAAGCATTCTATATCTTGCTTCAACCTTCTACTTACGGGTTTATAATTACGACAGCGACACCATACGGCCTATCGACGCTATGCAACTCCATGGAGTGTCCGGCCGCACTCCGCCGAGTGTGCCGAGATCAGAGGCGGACTATCCGGGGCACGTCCAGCTGCACTGCCCGGTGGCTGGGAGGGCGACACGGACCTAGCGCCGCTCTGGCCGCCCGCTTCCGCGCACAACTTAGCTACCTGGCTACGCCTATGGGAGGGGAGGGAGAAAACCAACAACAGTCTGATGAGCCAATGGAGTCTGCGAGCCGCGCCAATCATCGCCCTTCCGCGCGCAGACGGGAGCTAGAGCTATTCATCTCCTTTCCTGTTTTCGCTGGTCCGCCAGTCACCAGCATCGTTCCGTGCTCTCCATCGTCGCGATTCGGCCGTGTTGTCCTTTTGTGCGTCAGCAACAACAGTGAGAGAGAGAGAGGGGGGAGAGAGAGAGAGAGAGAGAGAGAGAGAGAGAGAGAGAGAGAGAGAGAGAGAGAGAGAGAGAGAGAGAGAGAGAGAGAGAGAGTCTCGGATCACGCCAGACAAGACAGCCACATGGGTATCTATTGTTTATTTACTTTCCAGTGATCGCAGGCGTTTAGTTGTTTAAAATAGTGAAATATATCAACTTTAATTCACATATCGCTTTTGACTCGTGGCCCGGCTGCTTGATTTTGCCACAGCGTACATAGTACATACACAGCCGATCTCGGTATGTTTCTGTTCCAGAACAGCAGCTGCAGTGGACACCAAAAATGCATTCATGTTCTGACAACTTATTCCAAAGATACACATATTTTACGACGAACGTTCCAGAGAAAGTATTTTTTCGCTCACAGATGCTCAGCAAGAAGCGCGCGATTGATTGCAACTAGCACGCTCACGATTTCTAATATAGCGCTGGCCAAAACCTGGCCCTTACATCCAAATATAATAATATTAATTCCAGTCTCTGTCCTATTTACTACATATTAGCGCATCGAGAGTGAATGATACCACGGCATAACCGTCATATTACATAGCACAAATTGCGAGACGACGTCGAGACCCGTATCGGTGTATCCTTCACATCCGGTCGTCTCGCCTCCACTTTCAATCAACCCTGACCAGGGGTGGACAATTGTGCCGAGTTGGGGTAGCACGAGCCTTCCCAATTCCACGCCGGCTGCGCCGGCTTGGCCTTGGAGCCGCACCAGACGGCGGCGGTCAAGGTCACCGCTAGGGCGGCGGCGGATTTGCTGCGCCCGTGCAACCGCTACTCGGCCTATTTCTCCACCCCTGACCCTGACACACCATCAACCAAGCCACGTCGGCTCCGACCATCTTGATCCCCGCACTGAAATCTGATGGCCGGCCCGTAATTTCATCCTATCCGTCAGCGCGCACTACACCAGAGCTCAGCCTAAAGTGCACTGTGCGGCCTTCTCCGGATGACGCCTCTGAGCATGGCGCTTGACTCGCAACTAGATGCATAGAGCCTCTTGTTCGTGACGGCCATTATCATTTCAGGAATCGGATGGTCTCGGCGGTGGCGGCGCTGGTCACCGTGGAGCCGTTGAAGACACAGTCAGCTCGAGCACCCGCGACCAGTGACCTGTAAAGCAGCGAGTCGCGGCACATCACGACGACCGTCACGTTTCAGTCACGAAGGCCGTTATAGAAGTCACGGCGGCCGTCATATGCCAGCCGCGGCGACCATCACATAGCAGTCACGGTGACCGTCACAGGTCACGACGGTCGTCAAATACCACTACGAGCCACGGCGACAACGACTCACAGCTCATGATTAACGTTTCCTGTCGCACACTCAGCTATAATAACATTACATTAGCCTGTACACACATCTCACTCGACAAATCGAAATCCGAACCTGAGACCCATCATACGTCACGACACTTGCAGCGGCACCCGCATTTAGCAGACATCCCATCCCGGCAACACAAAAAGTTCCCCCGAGCCACCCACCTATAGGTGAGTGGTCCTTATAAGGACGCGGCGACGGGTCACACAATGCCATTACGTCACTGACCTAGTGACGTGGTACGATACAGCATGACCTTGTGGTCTGTGGACGCCTTGGACTGGTCCACAGTCACACAGTTACTGACCTGGAGATGATGTGATGGTTTCTGGACAATGTGGCTGGATACACGCGCCACGTGGCTGGCCATCATAATGCTACTTCCTGCAGGTGACGCTCTACAGCTGGAATCGAACGACTGTCTCCTGAACCACTGCCAGCAATGAGCCTGGTGGAAGATAATATGGTCAAAACTCAGAATCCACAAAGCATACCTAGTACCTACAATAGAAACGACAAAGCCAGCCACATGAACACAATGGCAGAATGTTATGCTAAGTTTATTATGTTTCCAAGACTTTTAGTTTCATCGACACATAAGACTGCAATTGTCTACGTTAAACTCATCACATATCTAACAAAGTACTGACTTCCTGAGAAAGCACAGAACTTGTTTAATTATCAAGCAGCCTTTGTCTCCGTATTCCTCACACATTGAGCAGACGGTGGATGCGGTGATAACGGTGATTAAGCTCTGTGGAAAAGAAGAAGGAAATGAAGTCCATTTTATGCTAGAGTGTACCAAGCTAACACAAGAAAGACAATGAAAACTAGCTCTACTGAGGCCATACGTGGAAGAACCCAACGAGGTACTGGAAGCATTCCTCTTTAACGATGATAGAAAAGAGATGGAGCAGAACAAGGATGGACTCTACCAGCTCTGGAGGCTGAGGAGAAAACTGTTGACAGAGACGGGTGACGAGGAAAGGGCTTAACCAACATCCTAAGCTTATCCTACTAATACCCTCCCCCCCGACCTGTGTTTATAGGGCTACCGATGCAAAGGTGACAGCCCGACCACATCATCAGCATCAGCATCAGTCCTGTGACACTCACCAAACCCAGCTATTATGGCCATACTCCTGGGGGAGCTTCAGGCTTCCCACATAGGGTAGTTGTCTGTACAACCCGGAGCAGGATTGACCAGGATTGGCCAGAGGGGCAGGACATGTATCTCATGATAGTTACACAAATATACTTTTTTAGTGATATAATATTTTAATAGCTAATCCTTGTCAGCTTTTGTTGATTAATTTTCACAGCATCATTTATTTCTGGTAATTTAATTCTAACGCTCATTGCTGCAAGCTCCAAAGGCACCTACCTCAATGGCCATCCGAAGCAGGGGGTTGATACGCGGAGAAGAAGAGGATGGAATCGAGAGGGAGAACACCATGGAAGCGCGCAAAGAGAGCGGATACACAAAATGAATCTAGGTATTAGGTTTATAAAGACTTGCGATAGACTACATACTTCGAAGGATTGGTAATTGAGGCATGACAAATCAATAAAAACAAACAATGTAGGTACGCCTTGACCTCGCAACAAACTCTGCACTGGTGATTTGCATCTCAACTAAACCATAGAACAAAAACTTAAAACAAAATCACCCAATCTGGCACACGTAGCCTATCACAATAAAACATTAAAATTGCTTACCATAATACCACGGGAACTGTGTGACTGAATAATGCCTAATACCTTGCCTAATACCACCAAATTCGACAACAAAATCAACAAAATACACAGAAACCAAAATAAAACTGAACAGTGCTCTCAATTAGCAAAAGAAACGCCGTTAGACCAATCAAATGCAAGCACTGGCGTTTGCTAGCGAAAGCAGTACAGAAAACTGTGCGCAACTGTGGGTGATAATCATGGTCTGCAGTTTTCAACACCAAACCTCGTAAATGCCAGAGGTCATCATGCTTTACAACTTATATCAACAAATAGACAATTGAATTTTGTTTATTATTCATCTTGAAATAGACACCGCCATAGGCTTGTTTTTTAGTAATATTTCGTTAATTTCCATAGTGTAAACTTCAGCAGCATGAATGGTAATTCATTCTAGACCAAAAAATATAATTAACACCTTCTAAATTGCAATAAAATATACATATCTGGAAAGAAAATTAAATTTTGGTTATAATAAAGAACTTTTAAAAGCATATGATTGACAGTTTGACCAAAAAGCAATGATTTCGTTCAGAAATGTTGGGTTCTCGAAAATCTAAGTTCGAGACTCGGAAGCAATTTGTCAAAATGCCAGAGGTCATAGAGCTTTAAACTTTCTGATTTCTAATAGTGTAGACAATTTTGTAAATTTTAGTAAATGTTTTAGACACCGCCATAGGCTAGTTTTTGAAAAATACTACATTTAGTGGAACAGGGTGACCAAGGACACCAATGGCGGCAGTGTATTCAACATCATCTAAATTCAGTTTTTAACATTTAAAAGGCAACATAATGCACAAATTCTGAAAGATAATTTAAATTTGATGTTTTCTGACCATATTTAGAACCCCACATTACTGATATTAATCGATAATTTGTGGTAGAACAATGGCAGGTCCGGTAAGCTGAGAAGTTCAGCACTATGCTGATTTTGTAATTCAAGGAAACAATTTTTGCCCATGATATTACTTTTTCATTTTTGATTTTAAATTTTAAGAGTAGAAAAATAATGTTGTCCCTGACCAACCCCTAAAACCTTAGAACCATTATTTTCGAAATGGCGGAGTTGGACAAAAATTTATTTTCGTTGTTACTTTACAGATTTTGATAAGCTGTGCTCTCTGTACATTAATCAA